AATTTAAAATCAAAATGTGTTTCGAGTATTTGGCTGCTATCATTTTCCACGTGATAAGCCACTTTGTTGAGCATATGTGGCCTTACCTGGTAAAATAAAAATAGTTTCATAATACTTGAATACTTTAAATTCTGCACTTCCAGAAAGAGGTCGTGTGGCTGATGGGATGTGTCAAAATTACCTTTTCTCCCTCTATGTGAGACTGAAACAGGAGGAATTCTTCACAATTCTGGCTATTGCCTGATGAGGCTGGTTGTAATCATCAGCGAAACGTTGTACTCAAATTGTAAATGTTGTGGGTTTTACTCCCCAACACACCGGTGTTTTGAACTAGTAACTAATTGGCGCATTTTGTTTACGTGACAAACCTTACTAATTGGCTGTCGGGTGGTGGCGGATTTAACGACATGTTTATATTTACGTGATCTAACCCAAAATAACCTTTATTATGGATACAAATTTGTAAGTTACATGGAGGGACAGATACGTGAAGTAAGTGGCATATTCTCTGCTTGCTCATTTTCTCTGTAAATGAGTGCGTATTTGGTGAACTTTTACTGAAAGCAGCGATGCCATGTTTGTTGGTTGTGTATCAGCAGGCAGCGGTGCGTGGAGAGAGAGGAGGGAGAGCCGGTTGATGCAGAAGCGCCACCGAGAAGCCCTGGTCACTGGGATGACCCAGAGCGGACACGGGGGGACTCGAGAGACAGCGGCTTGTTGGGGAAGTGGAGCGACGAAGCGAACGTAGGTGCCCGCCCGGTGTTGCAGCACAGGGAGGATTGCCGTCAGCAAGGACCGCCACCGGCGCCGGGCGGTGGCGCTGGCAGTGCGGAGGACGCACGCTCTCTGGAAAGGCTGCTGCTGGCCCGAGTGGAGGAGTCGGAGAGGAGACTGATGGGCTTTGTGGAGCTGCGACTGCAGGCCCTGCAGGCCCACATTGATGCACAGTTCACGGCCGTTCGCCGGCTCATCATAGAGAGCGTTGGTGCGCCCAAGGCAGCCGGAGAGACCCGGAGTGCGGGGTGGGACTCCGTTCCTAATGAAACATCTGCCACGGATTGTGCCACGGAGTCAACACAGTCGTGACTCAGACTGACGGATGTTTCTACGTATTGTGTGCATCCTAAAAAGTATCAAAGCCATTGATTTGCTTTGTGTATTCCTCCTCCCACATGTCGACGGGTCACCGGTGATCTTGACACGTTTTCCCTGCTCAGGTGGCCGCTTGTCTCCAGGACGCCTGTGAGAGCCAGTCGAGGCTACAGGCATGACTCGGTGGAACAAAGTTGCCGTATTTTGGGGGATTAAGGTTTCTAGACCGGTGGACAAAAGCCCACCCCACTGTTGCCAATGAGGCTATCCTAGTATCTTGAGTTCTCGCCTGGTTGAAAAAATAAACTCGAACTTCACCAAGGTGTGTCTCCAAGTGAATATAAAACCACGAAGACCCTTGTACGCTTAGGGAAAAAAGCGGTGCGGCGGTTCCAAGTGAGCGGAGTACCTCCGGGTATTGTAATTATCATGAAGCTTCAAATGAAGAGGATCCGATGGATATATTAAAAAAAGGTGAACTTGTCAGGTGTGGTAACTTCCTGGCGAGACTGCAGTGCCGATATGTTAAAGTGCTTTGAGAACTTTATCCGGGAATCGGCGTTGCAGGCAGTTGTGTAGTTCTCTGGGTCGCCTGTCACTATCTTGCTGTTGAGATGGTCAGGGTGATCTCCTGCTGCTCAAATTGAGCGTTGAGGCATTGGTGCTCATCTCCCATTTACAGCCCTGAGCCAGTGGTGGAAATTCCACATTCCAATGGCAGGGTCGAGTCTTACTCAAAAACACAACGCAAGGTCAGGTTGATTGTGTTTTGACCGACCGTCTGTGTTGCGTTATATGGTTTCCAAATCTTGCTAAAACCTGTTTGATTTAGTGTGCTCCCACGTTTCTCTCTCTCTGTATCCCCCGTTGTATCAGTGTCTGTATATATATCTGCGGTTATGTGTCTCCTCTCTCGTAAATTTAGCTCTTCTGTACCTGATGATTGCTTGTGTTGCAACCGAAACGTCGTACACTATTATGTTATTTTATTATTTCTACGTGACTTTACTGAAAAAAACAAAGAATAATTCCTGCAGTCACGAAAGCTCCAAATTCATGAATTTATATTTGCACGTATAAATGTTTCCGTTAATTATTTAAGGTAAATTCATAACACAATAATACTATACAATATATGTAATAATTAATATATACATAGTTTTTTGTTTACATTTAAATGTAATATGTTTGTGCCCAATAACCATATTTTCCTCAATCTTTTGAGTTAATATTCGCAGATTTAATATTTGCGCCGTTCCCCAGGAATGTATCCCCCGCGAATTTTAAAGGGTTTCCCATACTTATTTTATCGACTCTGTGCTGTGGTGGCGAGATGTTAACTCCCTCGCCTGGTATGGAGGAGGTTGTGGGTTTGATCCCGACCCTGACGCCTGTGTAGTGAGTCCAACTGAGTCGCAGACGTTGTCTTAGGAGCAACACGTTTTATTAAACTCTTAGCACAACATACTCCAGGCTATTAACACAACACACTCCAGGCTATAAACACAACAAACTCTCGGGTGGTGACCACCGAACTAACCACGCTATGGTGGAACAAGACACGGTTCCACTATCCCGGTCTGGACCACAAGCTGGGCCCCGGACCGTGTGGCTGGAGGCTTCTTCAAGCTTGACGTGAATCTCCTGCCTCTCCAACAGTAAGAACCCCTCGATCTCTCTCGCCCTTGCCCGAAGGCTGTCGAGAGTTCTTCTTGGACCATGTGACCACCCATTGGCCCCCTCCACCGGTGGCCCCCCTCCAGTATCATCAGGTCAGCCAGAGTATCATTCCCCCAACATATCCCGTGCTGGCTGACACTCCCTCGCTCTCTCAACAGGAGCCCGCATCGCATGCTGTGCGTGGTGCCACCACGCTTAACCAGCGCTCACCCAAGCCCCCACTAGGGCTGGTACTACACCCCGTCTCCGGGGTATACACACAAGAGTATACATCCCGTCGTGGCCTCGCAGGCCCGGCACCACACAGTGACATTCCCAGTCACTCCACCTGTGACTGGGAATGTCACTGTGTGGTGGCGTCCACCCCACCGCCCTCGCTGGGCAGGTGGGGCGTGACATCCGCCCCCTCTACTCCTTCCTCCACCGCATCTATTGGCTCCCGCCAGGCCCCTGCGGACCGGGTGATCCCCCCCCCCCCGTGCTTGCGCCCTCTCTGAGGGACATCGCTAAATCGCTGGCTCACCGCCGCACGGAGTTAGCCCACACTCACCCGTGCACACCGCAGCCAAAGCTAACGAAGCGGACAGCGGCACGCTAGCGTCCACACCTGCGAGTGATTGCCTCTTAACACACGGTACGGCCCCGCGATTACTCTGCCGTGTTTCCCACTACTCGCACTACGCGGCACTACGCGGCACGACCGCGCCCACAGCTGCGAGCGATTATCTCAACGAGCGGTGATGCTGCGGCTCTGCCCTCACTCTCCCCGCGTGTCCGCCCATGCAGCCACTCCACACAAGAATCACAGACACCACCGATGCTCTGTGCTAACTTTTATTTGCGGTGCAAACCCCACACTGCCCGCATGTTGCGAGCGGCTCGAGGAGGCAGGACGGCAGGGGGAGGGGGGTCTTGGCCACCAAGATGTTGAAGAAGAGTTTTGTCTTGAATGCCTCGGGTTCCCCTTTTTATCCCCCTCACTTCAAAAACCCGGGGTCACGTTATCCCGCGCTGCCAATCGTGCGCCTACCTGTGATCCTCGCTCGTTTCCCTCCCCTTACACGGAGCGTTGCGACGGTTACTTCGGCGGCCTATTGTCTAACCACCCGTACTCAATTTCTGACTCATCGCGTTTAATCTGGAAAGACGTCCGGCTGGCGAATACACACCCTGCTAGTGTGTACTCGGTCTGGGGCCGGGGGAGGTCGTGGCGCTGTGATCCCCTGACCGCATCGTCTGCTCTGCTCGCTTAATATTTCACCCCAGCCCCCTCCCCGATGTCGTGCTTGACTCCTTGCGGCTGGCCCGGTGACCCTTTGTGCGCGCATACAATTTTAAAGCCAATTTAGGGGCACCGCAATGTGACTTGTCCTGCGAGGGTCGGCCTGTCTCCTGGCACCGCAAAACCGCGGGACTTTCCTCCTAGGGACCCTTCGGATGAAAACCCGTTGTGCCAGGCGATCCCCCGCCAGGACACTACGTGTGTGTGCTGCGTGTGTGTGTGTGTGCTCAGGGTGGGGACCAGGGGGGAGTCGCGGCGCTTGCAGAGTTGCTCCACGGCCGTGGCACCACACAGCACGGTACAGTATTCACAACTTCAAAGCAAAAGACATCCGGCCAAAAACTGCAACCTGGAAAGTTCGTCAACACGTTTAAAAACAGACAAAATTAATTTAAAGTTTCACAAACGATATGCTGCTAACCTAGAAATCGGCTCCTGCTGTAATGCCTTGCCGCCGATTGAGACTGTGGTTCAGCATTGCTTTAAAGCAGCGGCAGCAGCGTCTGATGAAGAGAAGAACGCGTGTTGTGATAACAGCGATTTACAAACACGACATTGTAACACGCGAAATTTTAACATACAGCGACGGCGCCACGGAACTTGTAATCATTCAGGGAGTCAGTGGATCAAAAAGAAACATCTCATACAGGACCCTCCTGTTGAACCTTTACCAGTTTTAACCTCCCACACAGTCAATGGTCGACCATCAACTGAATCGGAACCGGGCGTGTGGCTGATACGGCCACCTGATGCTACAAATGGCACCATCAAATATTCGGCGGCCTGCGAGTGTGCGGCCACGAATCCCAAACTGTCGACCGCATCGTAAACACTCCGCTACTGTCTTCAACCCTTTAAAGGAGGAATGGACGAGATACACTCTGCTTCTGGACAAACAATTGTCATCACCATGTGCATGCCCCTCGGGGTGTAGCAATCCCTACCAGCCGCCAACAGAAAATCCGATCTTGCGTGAGCCGGCATGCTGAATGCAAGCCAAGACCGTGGTGTCGAAGATCTGTCGATGCGTCCGCCCGGGCAACGTGTCCGAAGAGCCTAAAGTCTTCTGGCACTGACCGTTCCATGCACTGCCGGGCATCCTGTGTGAAGGAGGGCCTCGGCATTGGTGATGTGTTTGTTGAAGTGGATGCGGAGTATCTGTCGCAGGCACCACTGGTTGAAGGCATTCAGCTTCCTGCTCAGGGACGCTGTCATTGACCATGTCTCTGAGCCATACAGTAGTACGAGAAGGATGTATGCGTTGCATAGTCGAATCTTTGTTGCTGTTGTAATACTGGAGCACCATATGTGTCTGTATAGCTGTTTTGTGCATCTTCTTTGGTTCTTTCGGTAAAGTCACGTAGAATGAGAATAAAAAAATATATAACGACTTATTGTTGGTAGCTCAGCTGGTTGGAGAATATATTATATAGAGTTTATGATAACATTGAGGTAGTTTATATTTAAGTTTTTTTATCTGTTTACTATATGGTATTCATTATATAGTGTAGTGTATACCCAGTTGCTGTTAATAGCTCTGCTTATTGAAGAATATATTGAGTACATTTATTATATTGATGTAATTGAGACTCAGGTTTTTTCACATCAGTTTACTGTATATTTGAGTTGTTGCAGCCCCTATTGGCGTCCTTGTACGAGGTGCCTCTGTGGATGTGTAGGCTTTGACTTTAACATAGCTATTTCGTTGACCAGTCACAAGCTAATCCTTCAGCTATTTCAATGCTAAATTCTCCTGTTTGATTTGTACTAGGTGCCTCTGTGGATGTGTAGGCTTTGACTTTAACATAGCTATTTCTGTGACCAGTCATAAGCTAATCCCTCAGCTATTTCAATGATAAATTCTCCTGTTTGATATGTAAACTCCTTTGTCAAGGTGCCTCACTTCTCTCAACCAGCTTAAAAGACGCTACGAATCTTAGCAGCGTTCATTAAAGCTCTGTCGTCCCGACAGTTTTGTTCCTTCACCTGAAGAAGGCTACTTGTGTTGTGGCCGAAACGTCGTGTGAATTTTATCGTTTCATTTTATTATTTTATTCTCATTCTACGTGACTTTACCGAAAGAACCAAAGAAGATGAATCCTTGCAGTCACGAAAGCTTTAAATCTGTTTTGTGCACTCGTGTGCGATTGAGATTCGCCTTTGAATTTCTAACTCGCTGCTTCCAGTGTGTTGAATAGTACAGCCGAGATAGGTGAACGATTTTACCAATTCAAAATTGTTGCCCGCTATTTCCACTTGAGGCCAGTAGTGCGGCTGCTCATCAGTGGTCTGTAATTTTTTTGCCCAGTTTATTTCCAGGCCAAATGGGAGGGCTCCACTATGCATGATCTCCAGGACT